TGCCCCTTCCGCCACGAGACCTCCCCCCCTGACGCCATTGCGCCTGCTCCTGCCGCCGCTACAACTGTTGCTGCTGCTGCTAGTCCTGCTTCTGCTGAAGCTACCACTGCTGCTGCTGACCCTCTCTCTGGCCGGACTCCTGGCGCGGCCGCTGCTGCTGGAGTGGAAAGGGAGCTCGGGAGAGGCTCGGATAGAGGCTCGGTTAGAGGTATGGGTAGAGGTACGGGTCGAGTGGCAGAGGAGGAGGCAGGAGCACCTGGGGGGTGGGACGAACAATTTGATGCAGGGACAGGCGGAAGGAGGGCTGAGGAGAGGGGGAGGGTGGGACCGGGTGCAGGTTGGGGTGTCTTTGGTGCTGGGAGTGGATCAGGGCAGACAGGGGAAAGAGGGGTTCCAGGTGGGGGCAGAGATGGTCGTCCAATGCTGCCAACAGCTTCAGCGTTTGGAGTAGGGAGGGGGTTTGCGAGGGGTTCTGCAGATGTGGCTTATGAGGAGCAGCAGCAACAACATCCGCACCACCACGACCATCAGCAGCAGCATTATCATCATCAACAGCAGCAGCAGCAGCAGCAGCAGCAGTGGCAGGGGCAGGGACAACAGGAGTGGCAGCAACAGCAGCAGCAGCAACAGCAATGGCAGGAGCAGCAGCGGAATCACCATCACTTCAACCACCAGAACAGGCAGCATCAACAGCAGCAGATTCAGCCAGCCGCCCAGCCCCGTGGTTATGATCGTGCCATTGGTCACACTCCAGGTCACCCTAGTCAAGCTCCAGGTCAGCAGGGGCACCTGATGACTCAGCATGGGCAAAGGGTGCAGGGGCGCGGGCGGGCAGTGGGGGTGCGGGCGGTGATGGAGGAAGCAGCTGCAGCAGCCGCTGCTGCCGCCACAGCAGCACTAGGGCCAGGCCCTGGGCCAAGGGGTTTGGGTGCGGAAGCAGGGAGAAGAGAGGGAGGCAGTAGAGGGCGAGGGGAGGAGGGTAACGTTGGGCTTAGAGGACGATTTGTGGGGGAAAGGTCCGCTCAGCAGCACGTGGCACATGGTGGGGCGAAGGTGCCTGATTTGCCTCCATCTCCCATGCGAGGTAAGAATTCCGCACTAGATTTTCTCAAAACTCTTTGTGTGCATCTCCTAGAGCATTTGGGTTTGAGCTCCTCCTTCACAGATGTTTGCCATTCCTCTCGTTTGCTTGGCCATTGCGTCTCAGGCGTGTTCGCAGCACCCGGCGGCACTCCAGCGGTAGCGGCAGCAGGAGCAGGGAGAGGAACCCGAGCAGGCACAGGCAGAGTAGCCAGCAATGCCGCCCCCTCTCTGGCTGCAGCACCTGACAACATCACCTCTTCAGTAACAAACCCTCCTCTGAAGGGTCGTAGGCTGGTGGTGGCCGTTGGGAGCAGCACTGACAGTACTGCTGGGAGAGTCGTTGCCACCACTGCTCGCTCTCTGCCTGTCCAACAGCAACAAGGTCATCAACAGCAGCTTCAGCCACAGCAGCAGACGCAGCAGCAGCAAGGACAGGTTCCAGCAAGGGCTGTAGCGCAGGGGTTAGTGATTCGTGCGCGAGTGGATGGCGCCTCAGCGTCCTCTCAACGTGTGGTGCAGGCGCCTTCCCTCCCTGCTTCCCAATCTCATGTCTCTCGGGCAGCTGATATTCGCCAGCTTGTGAAGGCTACCTCGTCCCTCCCTGAAATTCCACCAGGGAGGAGGGACCTGAAACGGGTCCGGCCCGAGCCTGAATCCGTTCCAGGGGTTCAGGTTATAGGTTCGGGGCGTGCAAGGGCTCAGTCAGAACAGGATACGACCAGGCAGGGGCAGGCTGGGGTAGGCCGGTTGCAAGGCAGACTTGCCGAGCCTGTTAGAGGTTTGGAAGGTTCGGCAATCGGTGGCGGAGGCTCGGCAGGGGATGGTAGATTGTCAGTGAAGAGGCGCCTGGGTGGTGCTGCTAGTACAGTGACTACTACTGGTGTTGGTGCTGATGCTCGCCCTGCTGCCATGGGCGGTGGGGCTGCTGCTGCTGCTGCTCCTGCTGGCCGTGCTGCCGGTGTGCATACTCGTGCCGGCTCATTGGCAGAAGCCAACGGGCTTGGCGTCAGGGAAGGGAACGGTGCTGTGAACAGTGCAGGCGTGACAGGTGTCAAGAACCGACTAGCTGCCAGGTTGTCAGGACCTGTGGGGAAGGCGAATGTAGTCAGGGCAGGAGGCGGCTCTGACGGTCCCAGGGTTGGTGCCGTTGCTGCTACCACTGCTCCCCCAGCTGCTGCTACTGCTCCTGCCACTGCTGCTGCTGCCACCCCTGCTGCTGTTGTGAAGGTCGGCAACTCATCAGGAGCAGGAGGAGGGGGAGAAGGCGGGTTTCGACCGAGAAGTCTGGCAGAGATACTGGCAGAGAAGAGGAAAGCCCAGGGGGCAGATGCGGTGCCATCAGCATCAGCATCATCAGCATCCCCTGGAGCACCGGGCGCCAGCAGGGGTACCGGAGCAGCAGGAGCAGACCCAGCCAGTGCGATTCAATCAAGACCCAAGGCACAGCTCGTTAGGGCTGCTACAGCTGGATCTGCTGCTAAGGCTGCTGGCGAGAGAGCGCAGACAACAGCACCGCAGAATCCTACGAATGGTAGTCGTGAAGCAGCTAGTGCGACAGCTGGCAAGGCGGCCAGTGCGACAGCTGGCAAGGCGGCCAGTGCGACAGCTGGCAAGGCGGCAAGTGCGACAGCTGGGAAGGCAGTTACTGCAACAGCTGGCAAGGCAGTTACTGCAACAGCTGGCAAGGCAGCTCCTGTGACAGCTGGCGGAGCAGGTGGGCTGTTCTCGGGCCCTCGGCCGCTCTCAGAGCTTCTCAAGCGCAAGCGAGCGAGCGATGAGGGGGGTGGGGATGATGGTGGGGTAGCTGGTAGTGGGGCACAGCAGGAGAGGGCTGCTGGTGAGAGGCAGAGGAGAGTGGCGCGAGTGGATGTGACAGGTGGGCAGGGTGAAGGGAATGTGGGTAAGACCAGGAGGCTGACGAGGGTGCTGAGTGGGCGTGGTGGCGGGGAAGTTGGGACGAAAGCGGCACGCATGGGGGAAGGCACTGGAGCAGAAGTGTCAGGCACTGGAGCAGAAGCAACAGGCGGAGAAGCAACAGCAGCAGGCACAGAGGCTGCAGGCTCTGAAAATGAGGATGTGGAGAAGGCTGTTGGCCCCGTTGCGGCCACTGCTCCCGTTTCTGCTCCTGCTGCAGCTGTTGTGGAGGAGGAGAAGGTTGGACACGCGCCTGATGCTACACTGGCTGATGATGCTGACGATGGTATTATCCTGGTTCGCAGTGGTAGCTCTCAGTCTAAGGGGGAAAGAGCTGAAGGAGAGGTTGACTTGGGAGATGAGTTGGTCGATGAAGAGGATGAGGATTACGATTTGGAAGGAAAGCTTGGCGATTTATGGTGAAGGAAGACACAGTCTACAAGCTATGTTTTCTCAACAATTTTGGGCTGCAACATGCGGAGAACAAATTATGTCCATCCATGTGTAAAAAATGGACGCACCTTCATAGGCCTGTTTGTAGTGTATTCGGATCTGCTTATACGCAGAAGCAGGTGTTGACGGCGTGGTGAACGTGGGGCAGAAGCAATCTGCGTGGATTCGCCCTCGACACGTCAACTTTTGTCTCAATCCACGCATGGGCGAAGCGGAACCACGTCACACGGATTCTCGTTGGGCTTCGGGCTTCGAAGTTGCGATGATGTTACCCTGCACCTCTTCCGCAAGCAATCTCCGCCTGATGGCCGTACTAGAAAATGACGGTGGGCGACCGGAAATATTCTTCGCCCAGATTACGGTGTTACTTTTGATGGGCAGACTGGGGTCACCGTGCGGTTTCATGATGTGCTGCCATCAGATCAGAGAGATTTGGCAGCGGATCGCAGAGCGATGCGACTGGAAGGTTAGGCTGGCTGGGACCAAGGTTTTCACAGGGCGTCCTGCCAAAGCTGAAAAGGACCGCCGGGATGATAACACGTGGCGGGAAAGCTTGGCAATTGACCCCATCCAGCCGTCCGCACGTCCTTTTCGGCTCGGTACGCCCTGCATTCTGCACCGCCTTTTTCACCTCTCATACCTGGCCCGGCTTCGCCCCTGATGGATGCAAGATTGTTGGTTACGTTGCTGTCTCGACAACCTGGAGGAGACTTTGTTTGGCGGCTGAAGCTCGAAAATCTCGAGGTCTTTACGAGACGATCCCGAGAATGGAGGGGATAAGGCTGTGCAGGGCATCGCGTTTCACAAATGTGCTTGAAGCGAAGGGAACGAAGATCCACGGTTGGAGTTAAGTAGCAGAGACCAAAGCAGCCCTGTTCTGCTGCTACGTGCTGCTGATGTTTGGAGGAATTTTCTTTCCACAGCCGACATCGTCGGTTCCTCTCAGCAGTGCAGAGGCATCATCCATCATGCAACTTCATTGTGCACACGCGTGGAATTATGGCTATGATGTTCCAGCGCCATGAGCGGTTCTAAGGCCAGCTTCCCCTCCTCGGTGCAGCTTTCCGCCTCTGTTGAAGGTCATTTTTCAACCGTCATGGTTCATGCGGAATGCTTCTAGACTTCTAGAGGTATTATGATCCCGGAAGAAGCTAGAGGAACATCGCTGAATCTCATATCCATGTCTGGACATGGCTATAGCGCCTCCCGGTACCAAGGGCTCGGCGCCGAGAGTCGTTCTTAGAGCATCCAATAGTGTGACGACGTTAAGTGATAGTACCGAAAGTGGGTTCTCGCTAAGCACCGCTAGGGAAAATTATATACGAGGGACTACTAGGCTCTCCTCCTCGGGTTGTAGGGTTGCTACGGAAAGCTTAGCTGCGTCGGTCAACGAGCGTTCTTGGAAGGCCGTGTTGGAAGCTGCGCCGCGGAACGGATTGCTGCCAAGAAAACAGCTAATCGCGGGTGATGCTTCTGGCTGCGACGGCGACATGGAAGTTCAGGATCGCGCGTCCAAATCGACTGCGGAAAGCGGCGAAATAGCTCCGCAAATGTCCCGTCCAACTGAGCCTTGTTCGCAGGCTGAGGCTCGGGACGACGATGGAGCCGCTCTTAGTGGAAGTCCGCCTTTGACTCATCGCCTGAGCGAGAGTGCGCGTTGGGAGACTCCTGGGGAAGAAGGAGCAGCAGCAGAGGCACGGAGCGGAGGTATCATCGAGGCTACAGGGGACGGGAAGCAGCGAGAAGAGGAGTCTGTTGTCTCGGACTTGATGGATGCACCCGAGGTTGTGTCCGTGTCAGAGGCAGCAGAGAAATCAATTAACGGAGAAAACGGAGAGAACGGAGAGCAAGCAGCGACATCAGAAACCGTCGGAGCAGAGTGTGATAGAGACGTTTCCGGAACAGCAGAAACTCAGTCCTTGCACTCCGATTCGGAGCTCGCGTTTAAGAAGATGTCTCTTGATCCCAACGCCGCTGAATTCACCCCGTCCTTCGCGCCTTCCCCATCAGCAGTCGCTGCGACACCTTATTTACCTGACTACACCCCTCTCAGCTCCACTGCCGCTGCGGATGTCTCTGCGGTCACCGCTGGTGCCGCCGCTTCATCCGCTTCGTTTGTGGTTCCTCCTCTCATTCGTTCCCTCGTTACCGGCAGCTCGATTCCTGGCTTGAATCTTAGCCGTCCATTGCCGGCAATTTCCCAGGTGGTTCCTATAGGCCCTCGGAGGTCCTCCCCCGTGCCTCCACGTGGCAACAGTTGGTGGGAGCGGGGTTGGAGTGGAAGGGGGGAGAGGAATATCCGTGGAAGGCAGGGTGGAGGCAGCAGGAGCAGCAGCTCTGGGAGCAGCAAGCAGGGGAGCATGGAGGACGTGAAATTTTTCACTGTAAATGCATCATGCGTTTATTCCGACTCACATTTTTTGGGTGGTAATGCTTCTCGTTCATCTTCCGCGGCTGCTGCTGGTGCTGCTGTTACTGACCCCTCTGGTTATGGTGCTTCTTCTGACGCTGCTGCTGCCGGTACTGCGTTCGCGGCTTCCTTGCAGCACGCCTTTCCTGCTACTGCACCATACAACGTGACTGCTATGTACAGCGCTCCTTACAGTCACACTATACAGTATCATCCCGCTCCTTTTCAGCAGCAGCAGCAGCAGCAGCAGCAGCAGCAGCAGCAGGAGGAAGGGGCTCCTTCTGCATACTTCATACATCCACAGGAGCCATTGCAGTCACAGCAAGCACCGCTATACTCACAACCGTTTGTGCATACTAACCCTCTCTTACATGTACAGTCACAGGCACCATTGCCTGCACACGTGGGTTTCAGGGCTCCTTATATGGGGTATGAAATGGGGGAAAGTTTGGTGCCTCCTCCTCCTCCCACGCCCCCCACACCCTTGGCTACAGCAGACGACAGAGAGTCCCGGGCGATCATGCTCTCTCTGTTGCCGCCACCTGAACAACTACCTGACGCCGTTCTGGCGCAAGAGATAGAGAGAACGTGGGGTCCTTTGAGGTGAGCTGGATTGGGTTGTTCGAGAATAAGCGCTCAGCTTGAGCGCCGTGCACTCTCCTATCCGTTCTCTCCTTCACCACGTTATCATGCATCACTTCATCATTCCTTGCGAAGGTGCTCGTTTGAGGTTTTCTTGTTTTCTCAGCTTGCGAAGCGGGACATCCAGCAGCAGCACTGGCTGCAACAGCAGCAGTAGCGTCTGGCACCCGGTTCACCCCGTGCGTCCCTCTGTGTTTCCCTGCACCACCCTCTGCCCTGCCCCATCCGCTCTCCTCTCCTGTTTCCAGGTTCCTCGACTTGTCCCGCCGCTGGGATGGCGTGGCTACGGCACATTTTTACGACCTGCGCCATGCCAAGGCAGCTCTGAGGGACGTGCAGCAGCAGCACTGGCTGCAGCAGCAGCGCACACACCACCGCATCCTGCTCCGCCTGCGCCAGATCCACACCAGGGAACCCCCTGAGAAGATCATCCAGGACCCCTACCGGCCCCTGCCGAACGAGCCTGTGCCGCTGAAAGGGCTGGGGTTGGTTGCTGGGTGGGTGGTGTGGGCTCAAGCGGTGGATCCTGATGGGGAGGGCGGGGCGTGGGCGGGAGAGGGAAGGGTGCCGGGCTTGGGAGGGGGTTTGGAGGAGGTGGGGCGGATGGTGGAGGCGGTGAAGGGAGGTTCGGTGCGGTGCAGAGGCGTCACCAGCAACAGAAGTCGCAGGGGCCTCAGCAGCACCACCAGCAGCAGCAGCAGCAGCAGCAGTTAAGGCAGCAGCTTCAGCGCAGGCAAGGAGGACTATGGCAGGGGGCGAATGAGCAGCAGGGAGGGGCGTGGGACGGTGGTAACGGGTGCGTGGTGGTGCGGAACGTTGAGCCCTCTGTGTCTATGGACTCACTGCGTGCCCTCTTTGCAACATGCGGTACGTGCTGGGGTTCACAAAGGTTTCTTGAGTTTTGCAGTGATTGGATTGGATTTCCTCTAGGATCTGGATCACGCATCCGCTTCGTCCACGTTCTTTGGGTCTCCTCAGTCATGTGTGAATCGCTCTGTTCCTTACCATCACATCCGCTGTTCCTCGTGCTTCCTCCCACTCTCTCTTTGTTTTCTTTGCGTTGCAGGAGACGTTAAGGAGGTCAGAGCAGTTCTTTCCAAGAAGCTTCATCGCCTTGTGGAGTTTTTTGACATCCGGGCAGCAGCTCATGCGGTGCAGAAGCTGACCGGAACAGAGCTGGCGGGCAGGCGGATAAAGATCGAGTTTGCACGCCAAGGAGTCATGACAGATGCAGTTGGAACGGCAGGAGGATCGAGAGCTGTAGGAGCAGTGGGATCAAGAGGTGTGGATGCATGGCAGGGGCGTGGGCGCACGGAATGGTCTTCACGTGGGAAAGGAAGGAGCCCCGCATTCGGTGCTCTCACCCACAGCGGGAGTGACACCAGGGGCAGCAGCAGGAGTGGTGGCGGTAGGGGTGACAGCATGAGCGGCAGCATAGGCGGCAGCAGAGGCGGCAGCAGCTCATCGAGTCAGGCGTCTTTGAAACACTCCCTCATGTGGATCGGACCCGCCGTCTCACACATCGACTGCTAGCAGCAGCTCGTCGCACTCCCCGTGCACACTCCCACCCAGCCTAGCCCTGATTCTCCGCGTATTACAGACATACCAGGCTCGCACCGGCATGATTCAGCCGCGCCCCAGCATGAGTCACAGCCTCCGGAAGGGCCATCCCTGCTACTGAATCCAGTTCACTGCTGCTGCTCGTGCTGCTTCCGAATGCGGTGGTTCTCCAGAAGCTCCCCGGTGTGACAGCCCTGACTTGAGTAGCCCAGGGGTGGAGAGCAGGGTGGCAGGGGGGAGATGGGTGCAGATGGGTTGCTGCCATCAGGATCCACGCCTGGTCCAGACGGCACCAGGGGGGAATCAGCAAGAGAGACGGATGGAGTAGCCCCCGTAGAGGAGCAGGTTACAGGCGACTGTGCGAAGGTGTTAAAGGAAGGAGAGAATGTATTGAGGGAAGGTGAGAAGGTATTAAAGGAAGCAGAGAACGGTATTAAAGGAAATGCTAGGGGGTAGAGCCGTGGAAGTTTCTGATGAAGCTTCTGGAGGATGTTTTGAAGCCGAGTTAGCAGCAGGTGCTGATGTGGAAGGGGGAGAGGAGGAGGGAAAGGGGGTAGAGGAGGAAAGAAAAGCGGCAGAGAATGCAGTGTGAAGGAGGGCTGTTCAGCAGGACAGCGAGAGGGAGAGAATGGAGGGGAGAGTGGAGGGGAGAGCGCCAGGTCAAGAGGTGGCGGGCATTCTGATGAGTCAGCATCGCTGACCCAAGAAGAGCTGGCCCCTCTCTCATCTCCTGGCGAAGAATGCACGTCAGGGGACGGCAACCCAGACAACACTACTCCAGCTACTAGTGCACCCATCGCTACTGCCAGTGCACCCATCACTACCGCACCCGACACCAGTGCACCCATCACCAGTGCACCATCACCACCGCACCCATCACTACCGCACTTAACACCAGCACGCCCCATGAGCAGCGCCACAGCGAGCGCCCAGAGCTCGCCAGACACTGTGGAGGTCAGATACGAGTGGCAGTTGCACTTGGTAGCAGCGGTGGCGGTGGCAGCAGCAGCGCCAGCAGGAGCGCCAGCAGCCGTGGCAGCAGCCTCCCTCCCGGCTGGCACTGGCAAGCCTCCTCTGTGACCCCTCTGCCTCTCGCGCCCCTGCACACTACACCGGATTCTGCCCTCTCGCATGCATACAGGCAGCAAGGGCATGGCAGTGGCAGCACTGGCGACATTGGGTACAACTATTCTCACCATCCCCAGGCACATGTCTCCACTGCTGATCCTACAGCCACACCCGCACCCTGCTTCAGCATCTACACCAGTAGTCACACCAGCAGCCACCTGGTTCCGCCCTCCATTCCCACCCCCCCCCTACCTTCGTCCAACCACCCTTGGCTCAGCGTTGGTTGAACACGTGTGGCCGCAGCCTCTTCAGAACCTGAGCCCGCAGGCCACACAGGCCTGGGTGGGGTCAGCACGAGTGGCAGCACGTGCAAGGAGCCCACGAGGGGCGGTATATGCATGAGGGGGCAGCAGGCAGCAGCAACAGTACCAACACCAGCAGCAGCAGTATGAACAGCAGTATCAACAGCAGTATCAGCAGCAAAATCAGCAGCAGCAGCAGCAGCAGCAGCAGCAGCAGCAGCAGCAGCAGCAGTATGCCGGGCCATACGAGCCTCCTCACGCCCCTGTCTCGGTGCCTCTGCTGCAGCATCCCCACACTGCTTACCCACACGCTCACTCCCACCTCATGCTCCTCATGCTCCCACGCCCTGCCCTCCGCACCTCACACACACAGCCACGGCCCTCCCCAGTATGCCTACCACCTTGCCCCAGGCATGCCGTATCTCTCCCACCTGCTGGGGCTGCATCCTCTGCTTATCTCCCCTACCCTCCTCCACTTCCACTGCCCTTCCCTTCTGACCATGCCGCGCATTCTCCCCTTGTACCTCTTCTGCCGCCTCCTCCTCCTCCTCCTCCCCCTCCTTCGTCTGCTCCCAGTCATCTTTCCCTGGCTGCAATATCTGCTGGGGGGGCGTCTCCTGCTGTTTCATTCCCCACGTCTCTCTCCTCCTCTCCCCGATTCCCTGCCACCCCCACTGCAAGTGCCTCCCATGCTTCTGCCGCTGCAGCTGCTGCTGCCCCTGCGTTTGCCAACCCTGCTGGCCCGCCTACCCCCACTGCCTCTACTGGGTTTGCTATGTACGGCCATGCTACACAACACCCATGGGCGTGGGGTTTTCCTCCAATAGGAATCGTCGGGGCGGCAGCTGGAATGTTTTCCATCTGCCCGTCCCGGCAGATGATGATGCATTGGAACATGCCCATGGCGCAAGGGAGGGGGGGAACGGGGGGAGGGGGGGGAAGGGCGAGAACACGGAGGCATGGGCGGAATGTGGATGGGGGGAGGAAGCAGGGAGGGGAGAAGCGATGGGGGGGAATGCAAGGCAGGGCTGGGTGGAGGATTGGGGTGCCTCAGGAATGGGTGGGCCACCAACAGTACCGACATACCCATTCACATGCACACTCGCCTGCCCATGCCCATGCCCATGCCCATGCCCACGGTCGTTCACATGCCCATGGGCGTGTGCATGGGCCTATGGTCATGGGGAGGGGCCAGCGGGCGATGCGGGGAGACGAAGATGACATGGCAGAGGTAGGAAACTGCTGTAGCTCATGATGATTGTGAGAATGACCATAACGACGACTAGCCTAGCTGTTGACGACTAGCCTAGCTGTTGACGACTATCCTATCTGTTGTCGTTCCCATTCGCCTTGCTGTTGGTCTCCTTGTACCTCCTTCGCTCATTCTGTCCCCTGTCCCCTCCTTCCTTGCCCTTCTTTCACTGACTCCTCTCCTCTTCCCACCTCTTCTCTTTCCCCTCCGTCTCGTGCCCAGTTCGCGTTTGTGGAGGAGGCAGCAGCAGCAGCGGCGGCAGGAGCGAGGCCGCCCAGTTGGCTGCCACGTCAGCAGCAGGCAGGTGGCACCAGTATGGAAGGACACGTGGCACTCGTCTAACCGCCGCAGCTGCAGAGGAGGGGGATAGCTCAGGCGTGGAGAAGGTGGGCAGGAGGGCAGAGGCGCCTCGCCCTCTGGCATGCTTGACAGATCTCGTCCAGACTGGGTTGACTGGGTTGACTGGGTTGACTGACTCCACAGGTTTGACTGCCTCACGGGATTATGGGGGGTGTTGTTGGGGGCTCAGGGAGGGTGGTGGGCCGCATGTGAGTGTCACGCGTGCAGAGTGCAGTGGTGTGGCGATGGGGAAAGGGGAGAAGGCAATAGAAGAGAGAAGAGGAAGATACAACGGAAAAGGAAGAAGAGGTGAAGGGAGGAGGTGCAAATGACGCCGGAGAGGGAGGGTGCTCAGGTGGGGGTTCAGGGGGAAGTCAGGTGGGCGAGGGGCAGCGAGCGAGGGGGCGGCGGGACGGCACGAGGACGACGGTGATGGTGCGCAACATTCCAACCGCTACAACCAGGCCATGCTGCTCGCGCTGCTGGACGCCCACTGCCTGCACTGCAACTCCCAGCCCGCCTGTCGGCCCTGGGGTGGAGGGCACGCGGTGGGAGGAGGTGGAGCACGAGGCAGGAGTGGTGCTCGTGTTGATGGCTGTGGTGCAGTGGTGATGATGGTGGTGATGGTGGTGAATCTGCTGCTGCTGCTGCTGGTTGTACCGATGGAGATGGGAGCAATGGCAGTGATGCGGGCAGTGACAGTGGCAGCAGTGGTGCAGTGGGGGGAGTGGGGAGGAGGAGGAGCAATGGGAGCCGCTCTCGCTTATGACTTTGTGTACCTTCCCATTGACTTTAAGTGAGTGATCCTTCCAATCGATTTCGTTGATTATGCTCATGCTTGTACTCGTGTGGTGCTGCTTCCATGTGTGTGTATCCACATTTATTCCTCCGCTCCCACCCCTCACTGCTCATGACCGCTCTGCACTGCTTTCAGGAACCGGTGCAACCTGGGGTACGCGTTTGTGAATCTGACAACGGTGACGGCGGCGCTGCGGCTGTTCCGTGCCTTCCACCTGCAGCCGTGGGAGGCCTTCAACTCGCGCAAGGTCTGCCGCATCTCCTACGCGCGCGTGCAGGTGCGTTGTGCTCTGCACATGGTGGGGTGAGGTCAATATGTATATGGCTGCTCTTGCCAGTGTCTAGCCATGGCTGCGTTGCCTTTGAGATTCACGTGCAAGCCACTTGGTATTGCTTGTCTTGCTGACCATGGCATTCACATTCAATTTGTTCCACATGCAGGGTTGCGCGGCGCTGGAAGAACATTTCCGCAACTCGCGCTTTGCGTGCGACACGGAGGAGTTTCTCCACGCTCGCTTCTCCCCGCCTCGCAACGGCATCTCCTGCCCTCCCCCGGTGCTTGCCGCCGGTCACATGGAAGGCCAGCAGGTAACCCTCACCAGTGGTCAACCACCGCGCTCACCTCTGACCCTAGGTCCCCCAGGCGCGACGTTTTGAACCGGGGCTTTTGCCAGGCATGGGGTTGATGCGTTCAACGCGCCAAGCTCGGTTGTATCATCCAGGGACCAGGAATAGCTCTAGTGTTCCTTCCAGAACTGCCTCGGTTGTGCCTTCTAGGACTAGCTCGTCTGTGTCTTCCGGGCTGCCTCTCCGAGGTCAGATACGTAGAATGTTTTCTATGGACTTGGTGTAGTGTAGGATGCAAGCACGCCTTTGCCATTCTTCCTTCAGGATTCAGAAGAAAATATTTATGTAAACGCCATAGTACATCCAGCTTGTCTATGTAGAAACAGCAGCACGCATTCAAACTTTATCAGGGGGGCTTTTGTTGCCAGCTGTGCGATTTCCAACCAGCTCGTCTGCTGCATACAGCTGGCATTAGGAATACGTCGGCCAACATGGGACCACTGATAACTTCTTGGCATTCCCGAAGACATCATATTTTCAATTTTCTCCTGCATCACACGCCGGTCAGGGTTGCGCCTGACTGTAACC